CGCACCGCCGTGGTATACCATCATTGCGGACGGAGAGCATCTGCATCCCAATACCGTGTCTTTGCTTCATCGCTCAAGCCCAAAGCGGTCGATTCTGATAACAGACAGCATTGAGCTTGCTTCACTCAAGAATGGAACTTATCCTGGCCACTCGCAAATCCCTTTTGAACAGGTGAAGAATGGTACACGGGCGACGATTGCTGGAACCGACACGTTGATCGGTGGCTGTATACCACTCCAGCAGAGTGTGAGAAACTTGATGGATTGGTCCGGATGTGGAATCGCAGAGGCTGTGGGCACGGTTACAGAAAACGTGGCTGCCTTTATGGGCGTTGACGGAGAAGGTGGAAGAGGTGTGCTAAAGGAGGGTAGAAGAGCAGACTTGACGGTATTGAATGAGCAAGGCGAAGTGCTACAAACTTGGGTCGCGGGACACAAAGTATGGGACAAGGAAGAAGACATCAGGGCACACGAGGACGATGGTGAAGCAAGAGGCTGATACTTAGATACACGAGAGCACTGTTGCTAAAGAGCATGTTGACAATGCGGCACTAAACAATTACAACGCCGCTGGACTGTCAGCACCTTCCTACATATAAACGCTGTGTAAGTCGAGGGCTAGCACGAGCGAGCAGCACTTGCGTGAAGTCAAAGAACGTGTGAAGTATATCAACTATATAGTCAGCTCTCGAGGCACAAACGACTTCGTCTCTCTAACCGTCGCTGCACATGTTGCACACCACCCAAACTATGAGCACCGAGAACAACACCCAGTCTATATTACACATCTCTACACCCGAACCACAGAAACCGTCCCCACCCCTTCTGATCTTCGTTCTCGGCCCTCCCTGTGCCGGCAAGTCGACGATATGCACCATTCTAGCCAAACACTTCGATCTAGACCATTTCTCCCTCGGCAATGAACTCCGTAACCTGGTCTCATCAAACTCGACTGGCCATCCCGCTCGCATTAAATGCAAGCTGTCCGTTGAGGAGTTGCAGGATCTCGCCAAGAACGTCAAAGCAGGCACATTGGCACCTTCCAATAGGACACCAAAGTACGTCCGGGAGCGCATCTTTCCTGATGGTGTCGTTCCGCCAAACGTACGAATCCTGATCGACGGCTTTCCTAGGGGAGTGGATCGGTGGAAGACTTTCAAGAAAAGTGTCAAAGACATATGGCAGCCCGATGGCAATACCTGGGTACTGGCATTGTGTACTAATCGGGAAGTGGCAAGAGAGAGGTTTGTGAGTCGCGGAAGGGCGGGCGATGTCTTCGAGAAGCGATATGACAGTCATGAGGATTCTATCGGCGACATCATCGCTGCGATGAAGCAGGATGGGATGAATGTTATTGAGTGTGAGACTGGGTTGGGCTTCGACCCGCAAGATATAGTCGGAATCGTTGAGAGCATCTCACGATTAGTGGAGGGCAATCAGGCATGAGCAGAGGCTCCCCATGTCATGGGTAGCTGATCAGGTCAGATCGTGCCAGCCATCTCTTTAAGAGGAATTGCATCGTCGCATGGACCAATCTTCCCACCGTATGCGTAGCCATTACTGGAAAGATATCGAAAGCGCATTCGTTTCATACGCATCCAAACAAGCTATCGCGTGTCTTAAGGTGATGTATCGCCACATTCGAGCCGCTAATTCAGGTGAAATCCAAAGCAGTAGATACCGGACGAGATATTCTTCTCACGCGCACAAGTCCCGATCAGTGAAGACCAGGCTGCTTGTCGGACAGGCCATACGTAATGCCGGGATGCCCTGAGCGTGCGCGATGATGAAGAAAGCTCCTCGGCAGCCAGCGACAGATTTTGTCACCAGGCCCCGCTTAGTCACCCACGCTAAAATGGCGCTACCATCTCTCTCCGACATTTCAATCTTTTCCTACAGCTCCAACATGGAAACCCTTGACAACACGGAGTGGGATGTTCTCATCGTAGGCACTGGCCTGCAGCAGTCTCTTCTCGCTTTGTATGTATCTTGCTCGTCGGCGAGGGTGGGCGCGATCTGACTGACGCAGCGCGTGAAGAGCTTTGTCGCGCTCGGACAAGAAGATCCTCCATGTCGACGAGAACGACTACTACGGCGGTGCCGAGGCTGCCTTTAGCTTGCAAGAAGCTGAAGAGTGGGCGCAGCGGATGACTGGTGGTAAGTAAGGATGACGTTGAATCGCCGAGCTGTCGCTAACGCATCCTAGAAACAGCGAATGCTGCCTTCTCCAACGTCGCCGTCACCAAGCCTGAGGCTACTGGTTCAGGCCCCGCGCTATCCTTCTCGAGGGCCTACAGCCTGTCTCTAAGCCCCCAGGTCATCTACGCGCGCTCCTCGCTGCTTGGCTACCTCGTCTCGTCGAGGGTCTACCGCCAACTCGAGTTCCTTGCTGTCGGTACCTGGTGGGTATACTCTGCCGATGCACAAGGCGAAAGCTCGTCATCGCATGGAAGACTGCTAAAGGTGCCCAACGGCCGCGAGGATGTCTTCCAAGATCACGACCTCGACTTCAAAGCCAAGCGTGCCTTGATGAAGTTCTTGCGCTTCATCAGCGAGTACGAGGAACAGACTGAAGTTTGGGAGGAGCACCGTCAGCAGCCCTTCTCGAGCTTCTTGTCGGAGCAGTTCAAGGTTCCAGCCAGTCTGCAAGGACCGCTGATGGCTCTGACGCTCTCGCCCACCGGGGCAGACCGTACTACCACCGAATACGCACTACCGAGAATCGCGACACATCTACGTTCGATCGGAGTATTTGGTGCTGGTTTCGGGGCCGTTATACCAAAGTGGGGTGGCTTGTCTGAGATTAGCCAGGTATCGTGTCGAGCCTGTGCTGTGGGCGGTGGTGTCTATGTCCTTGGAAAAGGCGTAACTCCACCCACTGACAGCGCCCCGGAGACAACCGAGAACGGTACAAAGCTTCGTCTGAAAGATGGCGAAGTTGTTACCGCGAAGTGGATCGTAGGAGGAAACTCCTTATCTGCTTCTGAGGATACATACTGCAAGTCGATGACCATTGTGTCATCCTCTTTGTCGCCTCTATTCCCTCCCATCGCCGAGGAAGCACCAGCACCAGCAGCTGCTGTCGTTGTCTTCCCGCCCGGATCCTTGACGTTGGACTCGCAAGCTGAAGAGCTTCCGCCAGTTCACGTCTTTGTGCATTCGAGTGACACTGGCGAATGCCCCTCTGGTCAATGTAAGTTTTCTCCATTACCTCGCCCCTACGCTGTTATGATGAACAAACCTTACGAATACTTATCTACATTGTCTGAATACCATTGAAGACAATAACTCTGACAACCTGATACAACGGCACATCCTCTACATTTTCAATGCATGTTCTTCTAGCTTCATGTTACTGACTATACCTCAGGTGTACTATACGCGTCGACATCGATGAGCGGCCGAGATGGGTTTGCCCTGCTTCAGAAAGCTGTAGACTCGCTGTTGTCTGCTCATGACTTCTCGCCATCTCCTTCCATACTATGGTCTGTCGAATACCAGCAGCAAGCGTCATCCGGATCGGAGACGTTACCGATCGATACCGACCATGTCGTTCGCTTTCCACCTCCGTCCATGGACCTCGCCTTCGATGACGCAGTGCTTGACAATGTCAAAGAGGTGTGGCAAAAGATTGTAGGCGACGATGCTGGCGAGTTCCTAGTCTTCCAAGACCGAGAAGTATATGATGATGACGAGTAATGATCTGATATGTAATGAATCAATGAATACATGATACCACCACATCTTCTGCACATTTCTTCGTAACGACGGATGGAGTGCAAGTGCAACCAAGAACAAGTGATCGAGCAAAGGGAGTGTCGAATGAAAGAACCCATGTACAATGCTGAATCCGTGCCATCTCAGCACACCCTATAGCGGCCCTTGACCATTAATGTTTCTTTCTATCATGCAATCTTGGGCGTTCCGTCCGCCTTTCCATTACATCTCCCGTCAGAATACACCGCAAACACCCGTTGTCTCTAGATAACCAGCCGCCAATCCCGCCATTGACATCCAGCAACTTCCGGGTAAGATCGTTCCCCTCAGGTCATTCACCTCCCCTACATACACGGGACAGAGTGAAGTCTCCTCAATCCATTCCCCCGACCTCCCCTTCCGGCTCTGAGTCTCTCTCTGCTGAAGGTAGACGTGTGTTGACAGGAGCAAAAGCCGCCTCGCCCGTTTCCTCCTGCGGCCGCCTACGTCCCGCGACCTGGCTTAGTGTTGTCCAGCTAGTCGTAGTGGTAAGCTTCGGCGTGGTCACCGTACTCCGTAACGTCACGAGCGAATAGACAGTCGTTGTACCTGAGCGCGGTATGAATGTAGTAACGAATGTACTACCTGACTCGGTGGTGGACGTAGGCGTAGACGTGGACTTGGGTGTTGGCGTGGGATGAAGTTGACCGGGTGACAAGATGTCTAGAACATCGTAGATGCTTTGTAAGGCTGGTGAGATAGACCGCGGGACTGCAGGCGATGGTCTTGTTGTGAGTGTTGTCGCCGAGCTTCCGCTTTGTGATAGAGCGATAGTGAGGATGGGTAGCCAGAGGGCGAACAGCAGGCTTGTGATGTGCATGTTGGTAGTGGTGCGCTGTCTGAGATGCGTGGACGCTACGTGGTGGAAGTAAATAGGTGACTAAGTAGGGTGGTGGTGGGGGGTCGTGACTGAATGAGCGATGGAGTGGATACGTGAAAGTGAAGGGGAAGTAATCAGAGTGACTGGCAAACGGGCGAGTGGGTCGTGAGTCGATTTGGTATCAGAGCTAAGCCCTGATATCTACGCCACACAAGTCGCCTTTGTAAGGAGTAATTTGAGCAACGTAATCGTGGGGCGGATACTGAAAGGCGCGTGCTGCGGTGTGGTATTGACGGGCGACAGTCACGAGCAAACAAAGACCTGGACGGTTCTGCAAACGATCTTGAGGGGCATATCACGAGGGGAATACCACGAGAATGTGAGAATACTTCTTTTGTCATTTCTGATATGCAATGTGGTGGTCTCATTCCTGGATATACTTCTTAAGACTCCTCAGCCTCTCCATTGCCTGCTCCAGTACATCATCGTTCTTGCACACCGCGAACCGTAGCCAATCTTCTACGATGTGCGCGTTTCCTGGCGTGAAGAACTCAGTTGGAGGGATAGCGGCTACTCCGACTTCCTTGATCAGGAACCAACTGAGCTGGAAGTCTCTTGGTCTCTCGGCAACGTGAGGTGGGAACTCGTAGTCACTTGGTAGCTTGACCTTGGACATGTTTACCAAAACAAAGTATCCGCCTTCGGGATCCGAGTAGGGTAGCCCAAGCTCATTGAAGACAGCGGTGAACTTGTCGATCTTGGCCTTCATCTCTTTCTTCGACTCGTCCCAGAAGTTGTGGGCATCAGCTTGCTCGAACCCAATTGCGGTGGCTTCTTGAAGCGGCGAGACACTGCTGTAGCAGATTCGTGTGTGGGCTGCACTGACGTACTTGATCAGATGCTCGGGTCCAATCAGCCAGCCTACTCTCCAACCGGTGGCGTAGAAGTTCTTTCCTCCTGAACCGACTGTCAATGTGAGCTTGGCGATCTCTGGTGACAGAGTGGCGACGCGAGTAAAAGGGACGTAGTATAGACGGTCGTAGACTTCGTCTGAGAGGATGATGATGTTGTGCTTGACGCAGAGGTCGCCAATGGCTTGCAGCTCATCCTTGGAAAAGACCTTGCCAATTGGGTTGTGCGGAGAGTTGATAACGATCATGCGGGTCTTGGGTGTAATGGCAGCCTCCAGCTCCTTCATGTCCAGACTCCATTCGGCTGCAGAAGTAGTCTTGGTCGCACCGTCTTTGGGAGGGTGGAGAGGCACGTAGACGACCTTCCCGCCTGGCATCTCGATGTTGCTGATGTACTGGTCGAAGAAGGGCTCGAAGACGATGACCTCGTCTCCCTCCTCCAAGAAGCCCATGAAGGCGCTGAGCATGCCCTCATTTGCGCCTGTGGTGATTGTGACTTCCTTGTCGGGATCTATCGTGCGACCGAAGAAGGGAGAGTAGGCATCGGCAATGGCCTTCTTTAACCGCGGGCGGCCTTTGGTGGGCGAGTACTGGTTGCAGTCTACTTGGTCGAGCGCAGCCTTGGCGGCATCGAGGACGAACTTGGGAGGGTTGTAGCCAAAGAAGCCCTGGCCCATGTTGACGATGGGCTGCACGGGTGAGGCCGCGGCGGCTTCATTGACGATGGACCTGCCATTGTTAATATTTGTAGGATGTTGTGGCTATCTGACCTACCAGACATCCTGCTTCTGGCCTGCAACTCTCTTTGCGGGCTTGAAGGGGTCTTCCCTTCGTGTTGTCGCTGACATGGCGCGGAAAGGGGGACAGCTGGTGGGGCACCTTGGAGCTGCGGATGGTCTCTTGGTTGAGGTTCGGATGGATCTGAGAGCCGGAGTCACGATGCTTCGCATGGCAATGGCATTGGAAGAGGAGTAAACCCAGAAGAGTCACGAACTGCAGCGTCTAGCATTGCGTGCTCCCGTCCGTCGTCTGCCGTCATCAAGCGGGGACAAATCCGAGATAGCGCCGGCCTCGCTCGTCGCGTTACCCCAGAATAATTCGCGTCGCGTGCGCCGAGCCACTCATCTTCGACATGGTCGACTGCCCCATCTGCACTAAGGCTGTCAAAGACGCCCGAATCAACGAACACATCGACAGCGGCTGTGAGGAGTTTCTGCTCGAGCCAGAACCTCAGGGCACGCCAAACCTGGGAAAGGCGTATAGCTTCTTTACGCCGGGTGCACGCAAACCTCCGGGCGCGACACAGAAGAATGGACACCCAACCTCGTCACCACCCGCACAGCCAGCACCGCCGACCGCGACGCAACGGATAGAGATATCAAAGACACCCCCGCCAGGTACCAAACGGCGTCTCGAAGAAGCATCGGATACACAAGCCAATGGGGAACAACCATCACCATCTGCCCCAAAACGGGCGCGGAAGCTCAAGGCTGTCGAAGATGCCATGCCACTGGCGGAGCGCATGAGGCCCATGTCATTGGACGATGTATATGGTCAAGAGCTGGTGGGGCCAGGCGGCGTACTCCGAGGCATGGTCGATGAAGGCAGACTGCCATCAATGGTACTCTGGGGAAGACCTGGAACAGGTACTTCTTTCTCTATATCCTTCGCGCTCCAATTGAGACTAACCCATTCTCTAGGCAAAACCACCATCGCCAGACTCATCGCCAACGCATCCGGCTCACGCTTCGTCGAGATCAACAGCACAAGCACAAAGTTGGAGGAAGTGCGCAAGATATTCGCAGAGGCCTTTAGAGACCTGCAGCTGACAGGTCGAAAGACCATCGTCTTCTGCGACGAGCTACATCGCTTCTCAAAGACACAACAAGACGCCTTCCTTGGGCCTGTAGAGTCAGGCACCATAACCCTCATAGCCGCAACGACCGAGAACCCATCCTTCAAGGTCATCTCAGCTTTGCTGTCAAGATGTCGGACGTTTACGCTCGACGACCTTAAAGAAGACCACTTGGTTCGAATACTCGAGCGCGCCATGGCCGCAGACAACGTCACAACCCCTATACTAGACAAGCCGATGCTGGAATACTTCGCCCGCTTCTCTGATGGAGACGCCAGAACAGCCCTGAATCTTCTCGAACTCGCCATGAGCCTTGCGAAGCAGCCTGACATGACCAAAGAGAAGATACAACAGAGTCTCACCAAAACCCTCGTATACGACCGCGCCGGCGACCAACACTACGATACCATATCCGCACTACACAAGTCAATACGAGGCTCCGACCCCGACGCGGCATTATATTACTTAGCACGTATGCTGGAGTCTGGCGAGGATCCACGATACATAGCCCGTCGGCTTATCGTTGTCGCATCTGAAGACGTTGGACTCGCAGACAACTCGATGCTGTCCCTTGCGACAGCCACATACTCTGCTTGCGAGAAGATCGGCATGCCAGAATGCCGCATCAACCTCGCCCACGCAGTGACCGCCCTATCCCTCTCGCCGAAATCGACGCGCGCATACCGGGGAATGAACAACGCTTACGATGCGTTGAAGGAGCCGGGAGTCGCTGCACTGCCTATACCACATCACATACGCAACGCGCCAACCAAGTTGATGAAGGATATGGGTTATGGAGAGGGATACAAGTACAACCCTCACTATCTAGACGGCAAAGTGAAGCAGGAGTACCTACCCGAAGCACTCCGTGGTCGTTCGTTTTTGGAAGACACCGATCTGGGAAGCAAGGTTGACCCAGACCTCGTCGACGACGACGAGTTGATGCCAGAGATTGACTAAGCGCAGCCTTGGATATAGTAGCGGGCAAGAGTTGACTACATACTTGACATTGTTTGGCGTCTTGCATAGCGAATACGATACCCATTACGCGCTTCAATTTGAACGGATTACAAGCCGACGATGCTAATGTTACTTGATATACCAGCAGATCCTGTTTTGCCAAACCGATAAGCTGACCAAACCACGCTCCGTGTGGCTATAGAGCGGAAGGCGTTTGCTGACACGAACAGCCATTCGTCACTGCCGCCCGATGATATGCGCCCGCCTCATGGCCACAGACACGTTCTCCTTCATTGGTTACTGCATCCTGTACAACACACGCTGACGCTTCCCACATATCTGAGCACTAAATCTGAACACGACGTGCGGAAATCTCCCATCTTCTCCACCTGACCGGACCTTTGCGCAGTGCGTCATCTGGAAATGGACAACATCACCATTGGGGTTATCATCTTCTTCGTCATCAGCTCATGGTTTGGACATGCCTTATTACATCGTGTTATCAAGACACCGGCGCAGTATCAGAGACCGAAAGTAGATGTGAAAGAGACATAGCTTGGAATGTGGTGAAACAGGAGAACACCATTGGAGTTCGAACGTGAACGGTAAGACCGTCTATTTACATCATGAATCATCATCATAGCATACATACTAACAAGCCCCAGGACGACTATGCCAATCAGCGCACAATTCCACAGTCCCTTCAGTCAACCTTCGCATCAATACACCTACCCCTACTTGCTCTTCCTCGCCTTCGCCTTCGCCTTCGCCTTTGTCTTTACGCCACCACCGCTACCTCTCTTCTTCACAGGCGTCTTCGCACGTGCCGTTTCAACAACCGTATCCTTGTTGTTCTCCATCTCTTTCGTACACATGGCACAATACCATTCTTTGTTCTTGGGAATCGGCTTTGAGATGCCGATACAACGTCCATGGTACCAACCAATCGGACAAGCGTCGTTATCGCAGCCGATCATTAGGCTACCGTCGTCGAGGCCGCCACAGGTGCAGTGAGGGGTTAAGTCGACTGGAGTTTGAGCTGAGGTTTTGGCTTTGCCTTTGGCTTTAGCTGGCGTTTTGGGCTTAGCTGGGGGCTTGGGTTGAGCGGGAGCCCTTGGCTTAGGCTGAGGCTTGGGCTTGGGCTCGATCTTAAGTAGTTCTTCCTTCATATCCTTAGCAGCCTGAGTCTCGACTTTAATCCGAGCAGACTGGCGGCGTTTGCCGGGAGCAGCTTTTGGTTCGGGGGTCGTGGGAGCGGGATTGTTTGATGCGACTTTTGGTGTAGCTTGGCGTACGACTGCAGTAATGGCTGGAGCAGTAATCGGCTGAGGAGATGGCGGTGCAGACGACTCCACATTGTCGGGCGCAGGTGGAAGCTCGGCAGGTACCGTCTGATCTGCACCGCTCAGCTCAAGATACAAGTCTTCTTCCCGTATAAATCTACCTTGCGCATCCCTCCTGCCCTCTTGGATCTTGTACCGTCGAAAAACTTGTCCCTCCTCCCCTACCATCTCAATGCACCTCTCAGACACCTTGAGTCCACTTGAGCTGCCAATGTACGCCGCCGCCGACTTTTTCATGGCGTGTTTGGCTTCGCCCAGACTTCCAAAAGTGACGACCAGGGAGCGCTCTGCTCCCTCGTCCTCGTCGTAGTTGTCGTTCAGATACTCAACACACAGACCATACTGCACTGGCAGAGTGTCCAATTCGCTCGCACGAGTCCAAAGCTTGACGCCGTCCGCGTTTTCGCCTGCGGGGAAAACAATGTCCATTTCGTAGCGTAGAACCACATGATTTCTGCTATTCATGATCTCGTAGAGACGATTGATACTTAGCTCTCTTGTGGCTCCCCATTGGACGTTTGCTTCGATTCCTTGGGTAGCGTGGTCGCGCATGGCTTTCTGCGTGGTCTCGAAGACGGGGGATACGCTGAGGAGCTGGGGTCTGGTGGTGCTTGGTTCTTCGAGAAGCTTGTGGAAATAGACGGCATAGTGCTTTGTAGAGTATTGGGTCTCCTCGGTGGACGGCCTTTGTGAGTCCAGTCGCCGTCTCTTTGGAGAGTCCCGAGGAGGAGGGGAGAGGTCGGCTGATGGCTTTCGCTTCAGAGGGCTCGGTATGGCCGGAGGTAGAGTCGTGCTGAACGGGATGGTGTTGGTCTGGAAGATGGGCGGTGGAGATGTTGCTGACGACATGGTCGCGCTGGTCAAGCAGCAGCGAGTTGCGGATCAACTAGTCGCAGTCTAGTGTGAGATCCCAGGTTAACGGTCACTGTGCTGTAGAAAGCAATTGGGCAGAATGGGAGCCTAACGGTGATATCGCGAATGTCCGTGCTTTTGTTTCTGCTAGCGGGAAATGCTCCTTTGATGGTGTCGCAGTGAAAGAGGAGAGCAAGCGGCAGGCAGCCATAGCTCGTCCCAACTACCCGTCAGAGACGTAGAGACGCGGAAAAGTCGAAGTATCAAGCAGCGCCACACAACAATACAAATCTAGTATGAAATAGCAGAGAAAAACGCCAAACCAATGCATACTTCGTAGTTCCTCAAGCCCTGACTGCTACTTCGGCAGCTTTCACATGATCTACCGTAGTTCGTCCCAAACCCTCTTTTGCGTAAAAGTCCATAGGATAGAGGTTCTTTCTGTCCTTGGCCTCAACTCTCCTCACTGTGTCGTCTTCCTCCAACCACGGCGCGTCTCTTACTCCAAGTGTGACGAGCGCCTCGTACGGACTTAGCAATGGCCTGGGAAATGCGTAGCCCCAGTCAATGCTCAATCTAGGACACGCGATCTGTACCCAAGCCTCTACATCGGACATCATTGCCAGCTTTCCAGGGAAGATCTCGGACATGAGCAGATTTACACATTTGATGCCCTGGCGCGCCAGTTCGTTCTCGATGAGCGTCAGTGTATGTGGGTTTCCTTGCCGTCCTAGCGAACCGAGGATAACGCCCCATGTGCGAGCTTTACGAGCTGTGAGAATAGCAGTGCGTCGTAAATCGTATAGTGAATCGTGTTCATAAGTTTCGTGTGTCAGCCTCCGAGAGTAAGGGTCGTAGCGGTAAGCGGGGATGTGAGGATTAGCGATCATAGCGCTCTCGAGGTGGAAGCGTCCGTCGCCAAGATATAGTATCATATCCGGTACTTCCTCCTCTTTGCCTCGCGCGTTGAGCTGGCCTGGCTTTATAGCCATCGACGGTGACGTGCATCCTAGAATCTCCCCCTTGGATAGAGGCGCGATCTGTGGCACAAACGGGTTGTATCCTTCCTTCCGTAGTATCGGCACGATGCCGTGTATTGTAGCGTTGAATTGAATGGTACCAACTAACGCGATGGTCTTTCCCACGGGGAAATTCTCGGTGATGGTGTTGATCAGATGTTGGGTATCGATACTGATGGAGACGAAGATGTACAGTGTCGCGATCTTCGTTACTGCTACCGGTATCAGACAGCTGTGCGCGTAGTGTATGAGCAGATCGCATCCCAGCGCTCTAGCAGTATAGTCGTCTATGCAACACGCGCCGTACGTGACATCACCCATTATCAGCGTCGAAGTGCCGGGGCAGAATCGCGTCAGAATATCGGATATAGTCGTCGCGAACAGCAGCAGACCCTCTGGAAACTGCAGGGCTATCGACTTGGCGCCGGATGTCCGTATGCGATGTATACATTTGTGGATCTCGAAGCTGTAGTTTGGAGGCAGGAGGGCGATCGCGTCGTTGATTTCCTGGTCGTGGAGGATGTCGTCGGGGATGGCGTTCAAGACACGAGCAGTACGTCGAGGCTGGGCAACTTGAAGGGGCATTAGCTGTCTGCGCTATCAAAAGTCCGTGTATGGGCTCCTCACACCTTGTATCGCGCTGGAATCCTCAATGTTGGCATTGGGATCCGCTTGCTGCTCGCCCGCCTTTTCCGCCGTCTTTCTGCCCACAAAACGCCTCTTCGGTTGTTTCTGCACGGGCACAGCCTCTTCTGGCATGCCCTGCTCGGCATCGGGCCCCAGGTTGGTCGCAGCTCTGTCGTCTTCCATTTTGCGCGTCGATGTCGTGGATGAGCGCGTCGCGGGGTCGGGTGTAATCATGTGGCGGGGCTCAAGACTTTTTTGGTAGGGCTGAACTTCACTCAGGGTCCACAGCGCTTCCACTTCCACTCCCACCCGCTCCCAGCCATTGATGCGAAAATGCATGCTCATGAACAAGAAAGCTACACATATTACCAGCCAATCTGTATCGAACTTCTAACCACAGCGATGACAGTCGTACATTACTGCTACCCATAGATCTAGCTGCCCTATATCTTCCACCACAACGCCACGCAAATACTGACACTTCAAAGCTTCGCGAAGATCTTGTGCATACGCGCTACGTTATGGCCTCCGTCGCGTCTGACGACTTCACCGCCCCCGGGGTCAACCCAGACGTCTGGCTTGGATACATGCGCGATGATACAAGGAGGCTCACGCATCGTCACGCACTTGAAGACTTGGATCTTCTTGATGTACATGTTGCCCAGCTGCGCTTTGTGCTGAACCAGCATATATGCGAAGCCTTGCATGTTCGGCGTGCCTAGTCACATGTTAGTCAACGCTTCCTAGCTGTCGGAAAATCGAAGAGCCTCCTGCATCACTACTGGAACGCGCAAGACTTACCCATGATTGCGTTCATTTCGTCTGTCCCCCGTTCGAACGTCTGCCCTGGAAAATCTTCTAGATTTTTACCTCGAGTGCGCAATGCTCTCAACGCCACTGACTGAGTCTCTCGGTTGACAACCAACACAGACACGAAGTAACGCATGTTTCTGACATCGCCGTTGTTCTGGTTCATCAAATGTTGCCACTCCAGCCACGCCACGTCTGAGAATTGATTAAGGCGTGGCAGTCCATCACCGGTAATTGGTGGGTCCATTCCCTTGCCTATTTCCTTGGGGCTTGTACGGCTCATTGCTATGATGACGCCTTCGTTGATGTTGAGTGAAAAGGTAAAATCAGCACCTGTGGCCCGGTACTGCTTGCTGTCAACATAGTACCTTTGCTCATCGATATCCTCAACAAATCCAGGCAAGTTGTGCTGATAAGAGACGACGTGGTTCTCGCCACCTTCGAATCTGTCTGCGTTGGGGTTGAGTCCGAGACTTGCGAGTGCTTCACCGATACCCCATGTCAAATAGAAGTTGAAATAAGAATCCGCATCGTCGCTTGGATCGAATTGAAAATATTGCCAGAACCATCTTCCGAGTTGATTACGATTCTGGTACGGTGATGCTGCCGTGGTACGTCCTGGGTTGTACTGGGGTCCGACTTCGCTGTCGTCATGGCTCAACGCCCACGAGAGCGTGCATCCCTTTCTCCTGCACCTATCCCAGACTTCATCAGTCGCAGGTTCCGTTCGTGGTGGCGGAGGGGGCGGCGGAAGTGGCGGAGGAGGCCGAGAGGGCGGAGGTGGAGGAGGGCCAGCGGCCGCGACATTCTTATATGGCGCCTCGAGGATCGTGACATTAGTTGATAGACGAACATCGTTTGAGCAGCTAAATGCTAAAGTCAGCTGCAAGACTTTTAATCAAAGCAAGACGCTGGTACAAGGACTATCAAACCTGCCGAGACGGAAAGCGGGTTACTTGGGAAATGCCTACTCTTGACAGATCTCGCCTGCAACGGCAGCGAACAAGCCAGCAAGCCTGACGAACTGGCGGATCCGCATACTTTTCAAGTTTGTTGCTGATCAGTGTAAGGTAAGAGAGAGAAACACCCGGGTGGTGCTGCAAACAGAGGCGTACTACTCAAGCGGGATTGAGCTTTTTTGTGCGTAGCTCCCGCCTTCGCCTTCACCTTCACTGCGCATGGAGTGAAATGAAAAAAGGCGACAGAGATCCGGGCAATTCCCAGAGCTTGCAACACTGGAAAGTGCGCCCTTGTCGTGTAACGTCTCCCAGTGATCTCGGTTCGCGGGTTGTTCTTTCCTCTTTCGCCAACTGAGCAGTTCGTCATACAGATCCACATGCACACGCGCCTACCTTCCCTGGGGGTGACGAGAAGGGCTGTCGATAATCGCCTCGCAATTTTAGGAACAACAGCGACCTATAAAAAGGCTGACATATCATATCTGACGATTAACATCTTCCACAGTTGCCGTCCAGCCCTCATGGCTGATGATGCGCAGGAATAAATAGGGTATCGTGTAACGCAAAGAGCCTCCCATTCGAAGTGAAGAAACAACCTTGGAACCAGATCAAATGTTCAATTTACCTCCCAACCAGAAGCCACCAACCCACAACGCTCCCCAAACCGGCTGAAAGAAAGCTCGAAGCACCGCCGGACCAGGACATATTCCCGTCAACCCCCAGCCAACACCAAAAGCTGCAGCTCCGACGATGAATCTTCTATCCACATCTTGCAACGTCTTCGTAGGTAGCGAGAACTTGTCGGCGAAGGATGGAGGGTTGGCGAAGCTCTTCATCTGGTTCTCGATCAAGTTGGGTAGGACGCCGAAGAGTATGACGAGAGCCAGTGACGGATCCCAGTGTTGCAGATCTGGGAAAGAGAAGAAAGCGGCCACCTTATCTGGGTGTGACATTTGTGAGATGTGGAGACCGAGGGCGAAAAGTAGGCCCGAGAAGGACTGCGTGGTAAGGCGTGCAGCAGTGTGTGTATCTGCGGGCTGGTGTTTGACATCCTTGGTTGTGGGCGCGACCGTGACTTGAGCTACGAGTTTGGGTATGGTTCGGGCGGCGAGCATGCTGAATACGGCAAGTATGAGAAGAGATGCGGTTGTCTCGGTTGATGGATACACAGGCGTGTAACACGGTGCACTACCGGGGCACATCGGACTCGATAGGCTTGAGTTGACGATGTGATGTGTTATGATGGCCGCGGGAAAGAAGGTAGCCACTGCGATTGCTGAGCGTCCGCTCAGTCTGGGGAGTCCACACAGCATGTGTCCGGATGTACATCCATTCGACACCTGGTCGTTCTCGTTAGTGGTGGAGGATTCTTGTACCAAAGGTCTCTTACCTTTGTTCCCCATCCTATCAGAGCACCGATCGCTAGCGTAAACAGAGCACTCTGTGGACTGGTCTGTACAGCAGGATACTCCGTGATCAACTGTGGTGCTAATGCCTTCAACGGAACATAGCTGGCAGCCATGCCCGTGAAGAACGCGAGCAGTTCCTTCGTAGGCGCAGAGAAGAGTCGACGCAGATAGCCGCTGAGTCCCAGGATATCGCCATTCTGATAGAGGAGGTTGCTAGTCGCTTGATGTAGCAGAAAGGCGCCGATGGAAGTCTCGACGGGTGTAAACATCCTCTTGATACCGGTATTCTCGTTTCGTCGGGTCCCGTCCCTTAAAGAATCACACTCTAGCGAAGGACTCGTCCCGTAAGGTGCATCAGCAGAACGAAAGCAGCAAAATCAAAGAAAACCCCTGCCAACGAAGGACTAACAAGCCGTTTGTAGACGACCACCTCATTATGAAGGACTAGGTCACTAGACGAGATCTTCCCTCGCTAACGGGCCCATGTGCCAATCGCCGTGTAGACATTTTCCCTAGTCGCCGACCTCACGCTGCAAACGTGGACTTAGCCGAGAATGCAATCATCCCGACGATAGATATATCGTGGAGGCGGACTGGTGGCGCCCCGGCAGCAGATACGCATGCACCCCTAAATTGACTAGCGTGGGTACTAAGCGTGGCTCGCGCGTGGTAGGCGCGTGGGTCGTCGGCGACGAGAATGCGCCCCAGGGATAGCACATGGGAACTTTACCCGGTTCATGGCTTGCGCGACTGCATGGCGAGGCTTGCGTACCCGCGATCATGATGATGTAGAGTCGACGAGGCGTTTCACGATGTGGGATATCGTATGATTTCTGCGCTGAGGGCAGCGAGTGCGAGTGTCATCGTGCTCGGGGTCTTGGAGGGTAGTCGGCGACCGAAACCTCGCACCGTCGGAATTACCACGGCGTTCCTTCATGATGGAATCAATTACTAACGTGGTCCGCTAGGTCAAGCTGGTGTGGGTGTCTAGATGGTTTCTAGAAGGACTCCGTGCGACGGACGGATGCGAATGCCGGGTGGCGGCTAGAGGCGCGAACTTCATCGATGGTCCATCACAGAGGCGAATGACTTCGATCTTTTGTCACTTCTTCTCGCGAACGATTGTATACATTTTTTGAACAGCTTCACACCGCTGCATATTTGTTGCATACGCGGCCCGCTTATCTCAAATTATTCTCCGTGTCAGATCTGCATGCCGCAGCTACCTCGCCGACCAGAATGCCTGCAGTGGACGCGATACAATGCTTCTCGAAGACGAGCAAATATGCCAAGAACTCAACGGACACCGACACACCGTACCGCTGCGCCGAAGTGCGCATATGCCCTGATTGATTGCATGGTCGGTCTGCAAGCCAGTCGTCGAAAGCGCAGCTCGACATCCTCCTCATTTCTACTCTCCAAACAACTCATCTAACCACGGCTCCGCCAAGTAAATCCTCAATCCATGCCATCCTACTAGGCCCCCCAGTCCGACCGTTGTCAGCCACTCATGTAGCCTCTCCTGGATACATCAATCACCTGAAGGGTGCATACCCATCTCGATGAAGCAGGAGATCAAACTACATATATCCTGAGTCCTGGCCACCTACTCAAAGCCTCCAACCCCATCTCACGCAGCCACGCAGCCACGCAGCCAGCGACACACCTTTCTTAACTCCCATCCTTCTCCTCCTCCGCTTCATCTCAAACTCCTTGGTAACCGTAATCCCGACTTTAGCTCTCTCGCCATAGACCTCAGGCCATACATGTAGAAGCGCGACATGCTCCTCAACACCGACCCACCACTTATTATTCTCCCTCACGCTGAACACATCGCCAAAAGCAGTCCGCGCGTGTTCGGGGAGTTCGAAGTGCAGCTTCAAGGACGGGGAGTTTTTGTATGCCTTCAGGAAAGGGAGAATGTCGATGTTAGGTGTTAACCACAAGGACTCTCGGATCGTGATGCGTACGCTGCCTAGGGGAAGGACGAGAGGCTGGTCGGGATCAAGGGAGGCGGTGCTAGATACAAGGGCGTCGAGCGAGATGGACATTGAGTGGTTTTGTCGATAAGTAGCTTCGTATTCTTCGCGTATTTGATGGCAGGTTTGTGTGAGACCAATGTCGTAGCGTTGTATGGTGTTCCATCCTGGAGGTTCGTATAGAATGTCGTCTTTGTTCTCGTAATACAGCACAATCTGATGTGCGGGCGTGTGCAGGTAGTTTGCACGCGAGGAGAATGATGTGGTCGCTGAGCTGACGGGAGGGTCGTGGTTTATACGTTCATTAGCAAGGTATGAATATATTTTGTTCCGCAGTTCTATGCTTGTTAGTGATGCGCTTGATGATGACGGTTAATGTGTACTTACCACCGGACAGAGAAAGAAAACTGAGCCTGGGGCTTTCTACCGTGAGATTTCGGAGACCGGCGTTGAGTTCCTGGATTGAAGCGAGAGTATCGGATTTTGGTGGATGATACATGTTATATGGTAAGCAGTTTGCTTGCCTCGATGGGTAGAAGTTTTCAGGGTGGTTTGTAATCAGTAAGACATCCGAGTTGAGCTGAAGGTTAGCGATAATTGATCAGCTCTCTACATGCATCAGTCGAGATAGTGGTAGTGGGCATTGCTTTCACTACACCTACTTTAGTTACACTAAGAACAAGGCCTGCGCGTGCCGTCCAATTCACCTTTCAGCATTGGAAAGCTACACGAACCTCTCGATGAAAGGCCCTGTTCCCGTGGAAGCAGATCTTGGTCTTATACAGATCTATCCCCCCTTGGATGTAAACACATACGACATGCCCTCATTCACTGTCGAGCTCCGCTGACGTCGCAGAATCCTCCGGAACTATATGGCCAAAGTGATAGAGCAACGAACTATACTTGCCACTATTCCTGTTGAGACCAACACGTTTACTTCATGTCATTGCTGCGTTGAGATACTCAGTTTTCTTATAGAAGTTGAGACCCATCCAGCTTTCCGCCCACTCTTTCTTGACCATAATTGCGGTCGTTAGACCTTCATCCGTACAACTGCTAATGGTGATCTGAGAAAGCGAGCTTGCTACGTAGACGTTCCAGCGGGGGTTGCGATGGGTGTTGAGGAGCGAGTTGAACAAGCTGTTCTGGCGGAAGTCATTGGCGTCCTCGTTGAGAAAGCGTACAATCAAGCGTGGCGCCCGAGCGATGATTTTGACCAATGGGAGTATATCGACGGAATGACGTGTTGCTAAAACCCTTGGCCTCAGCAAAATAATACTACCGACCGAATCGTCGTAGGTGCCATGTTGTGGATCGACAAACGTGGAGATGTACTGATCGACCTGGTAATATGGAATGGCGATAGTGGTCGTTGTGAGGTAGATAGGCAAGAATTCATCGCGGATCTGTTTACAGGTTTGTGTGAGACCTAGGAGCGTACGATCTTGAGCGATGTAGTCGATGTTGTTCTTAGTGAGGCTAGGGTTGTGCGAGAGCTTCACCAGAATGCTCTGCTCAGCTGCATACTTGTATATGTAGTTCCGGAGCTCTTTAGATCTGATTAGTAACTGTGAAATCTAGCTCCGAAATCTTAACTCACCCCCAGATAAGTCCAGAAAGCCGATAGCTCGACCTTGACAAGGCGGAGCGGGCGTGGGCGCATTAGCTGCGCCAGAGTCACTCTCGGTTTTTTGCATGGTATAAGTGGCTTGTCGTGTAATAATTTCCAAGGCAATGGGCTCCTCCAATCGACTGCGAAGTAGACCGAAGAGATCGGAGAACCGAAGTGCGTGAGAATAGCAAGAGTGGTCTTGGCAAACCACCTGACGCGGAAAGTGGGTCCACAACAAGTGAGGAAAGTAAATTTGCGTTTGCGCGAGTGAGAGATTGATGTGGAAGCTAAGGTTTGTAATTCGGAAGATTCCCACGGCAGCAACATTGGGGCCTCTAGCACATTGCACTCATGGTTTGGATGGAACCAAGTAAAGCATACCAGAATCAAGGAAAGCGACCCAACCACACCGGAGACATTCGATTAGTGTGAAAGATCTACGAGACCGGCTCGATTCGATCTTGTACCGTAAATCGTTTGAGACTTTTAGTATCTGCGTTAATACAGCCGTATCGTCGTCCAGTTCGTCCTCGACGTATCATTCGTTCAAGATGCTCAATATACCTCACCAAAACCCTTTCTCTCCGCGTCTTGCATCTTGTCAATCTCCGTCTCGCCAATCTTCTTCTCTTCCTCCCCGGCTTCTCTATCCTCCTCACTGTTCTCGACAATCATGTTGCCTTTCAACGCTTCCGTGAGGATTGGTTCTCCTTCCTTCTCTTTCGCGAAGGCAGCGTCATCGCTGGTGGCATCGCCGTCGCCCAGTCTATCGGTCCTGACGCCGTTACCCATGCCAGATTCCTCTTTCCAGCTCTGCTCTGTCTGTTTGCGCTGCAGTTTACGTTCTTTGGACTGTCTGCGCTGCGTAGAGCTTGCTCGGAGGAACTTGCGATGTTGTATCTGTTGCATGCCCGGGAAGTAGTCGGAGTCATCAGAGAAACCCTCGCCTGGTGTTTTGTGAGGTTGTAGGTGGCGGAGGACAGCTGCGGTTCTCGGTTGCGCATGGCTACCTGAGCGTGACATGGACGATGTTGCTTCCCCTTCATCACTGCTTGTAGCGTCGTTGGACGCATCGTTTGGAGATGCTGGCGTTGGAGGCATTTCCGGAATGGTGGCACCCTTAGTACTCTGCTTCCGCGAAAGCTTTGCCGGCGACGGCTCGTTGATAATGGGAGCGTGTTCGGTCTGCTGCGCTGCAACTGGGTGGTCCTCCTGTTCGCTTTCTACAGGCTCCATATGTGAGACTGCCGGCGGGGGCAGCTGTTGCGATTGTCCCATGTACTCCATAGTGTTCTTGCGCATCGGTCGACGGGGGTAGTTGATCTTGTCATGGTCACATCCGTTGACGCATCCTCCCCATCGGCGCGTGGGTATAGTGGGAGATGCGGTGATGCCTCCTTGGCCCAGTCCAGTCAAAGGTGTGGCCCTGCTCGGCGTCGATGAGGTGGCGCTCTTTGTCTCTTCCTTCTCCTTAGCAGCACGTCGCTTGAGTTCCGACCATGTTCGTAACTCGTTCTGGAGGATGTATCGGCCGTTGTTCTCGCTTCGCTTCATAATTATGAATTCGCAGTGGTTGACGTTACGGAGATCCTCGAAGTACTCGACCGACCAATGGTACCTAGAGCATGTTAGTTTTGGACTATTGAACCAATTGTTGTGCGCCTCACCATTTCATAAGGAAGACACGCGACATCAGCCCGTGTGTGACCAAGACGCAAACACTGGGAAAGTTGTCGTCCTGGAACGATCTCCACAAGCTCTCATTGAAGCCACTGACTCGATCGTACGCGTCAGCCGCACTCTCACCATCAGGTATACGGTAGAAGAAGTGCCCATAGTCGGCCCTCTCCTGCCACATGCGCTCCATTTCGGCTGAACATGGCTGGAAGTTTCCAAAGTCCTGTTCGCGTATCCGGGGTTCTTCGAAGACGGTTATCTTGTTGCGGGGAAAGGGCGATGGTGTTGGGTCGTCGGAGGTCAGAGTTCGGAGGATGCCTTCGGTCGTCTCGCGCGTACGGCGGTAGGGTGAAGTGAAGAACTGGAGGGTGTCGTCTGGCTTGAGCAGAGACCGTAGCTGTCGTCCTGCCTCTTCTGCCTACAATCATATGAGTTAGTCCCGTCTCAACTCTGACGAGAAAGTAGGCGTACCTGAGTCCAGCCATGCTGGGTCAGTTTCACTCTATGGTCGGGAATGAACTGGTGGATGTCGCGATTCTTGTTTCCCTCTGACTGGGCATGGCGGATCAATATGATCATCTGCGAGGGAGTTAGCCATTGGCCTTGGTGGTATTAATAAAGTGGACCTACGCGGGGTTTCCCCATGGTGAAGAGAGTGGGATGTGTGTATGGTGTGGGTTTGAAAGATGATGTGCGTGTCGTTGATATTGTGCTGTACAGCAAGGTGTCTTGGAGGCAGGAAGGGAATATGTACAGCTGCGCAGGGAAAGTGCGATCAAGGGCGTTTCATGTGCAGCTGCAAGCCCAACGATAGCGGCGACTTCGCTGGCGCGAGTGGCTCGTTCCGCCGCCCGTAGCGCCCCCGAGGTGTTCGCCGCAAATGCTAGCGCGTCATCCCTCGCGACTGTTTCTTGGCCGTCATTCTTCACCACTTTTTCTGCATTGCGCGACAGCACACGTACACGCTGCTACTGCCCACGTTATCGTTTTGGAGTCGCATCACTCCGGGCAACCACACACGACGTCATAAATAAATTATAGCCCCCCTGCCAGCTTATCTACTGGCCAGCGCTTCGCATCTACCTCTGTGGACTCACCACAATGTCTGAACCCATCCCCGAATCAATACCCACCTCCGCCGACCCGCGCTCGCAGCGCCCAACGAAGAAGCGCGCGCTTACTCCGCGCTCCGTGCAAGCCTCAGAAGTCGAGGCTCTCTTCGCGAAGCCTGATCGCGATATCTACATCCCAGGCTCCAGCGCACTAGCCAAGTCCTCTCTACCCCCGGAAATTGTCGCCAATGTACAAGGTTCCAGTGCAGGTGCGGGAAGTGGCGAGTTCCACGTCTACAAGGCGAGTCGGAGGCGCGAGTATGAGAGGCTGAGGATGATGGACGAGGAGGTCAAGAAGGAGGAAGACGAAAAGGAGTTCGCCAAGCGGAAAGAGGAGCTGGAAAAGAAAGACAATGAGAAGACGGAGAAGAACCGGTTGAAGCGTGAGAAGGCGCGACAGCGCAAAGAGAAAGCCAAGAAGGGTGGAAAGGGCGGAACAGGCAGCGAGAGGGATGGGACACCGGTGGCAGAGGACGGCAAGACGAAGAAGAAGTTAGCGCCGAATGCGAATGTGCCAAAGACTGGCACCGACGAGGACGCAGATGCCAACAACGAAGGCGGAGAGGTCAAGAATGCGGAAGAGATTGGACTAGTTATCGAAGACGACGACTGAGCGGCGTACACACAGTCCGGAAGAATGGTTGCATGAGTGGAACAATAATCATTTTAATTCAGCAAAGCTCCATCAAGAGCTGATGGAGATACTCTTCACATTTGGGTCAAAAGGTGCGATGACATGGATTTCTCACAAACCTACTGCTAACGCTCAATACAAAAGTCTTGTTGCCGTTGTCGCGAGACGTTACACAACCCTCTATCCTATGCGACCCACTACAGCAGCCGCGCCTTCTTCATATATCGCCCGTCGACTGTCGTCAGAAGCATTTGCATCAAACACCTGCAATCAGGGCTATGTTGCTTGTCAAGGATTAGCGGCACAACAGGAGAATTATGCAGGTGCGGCCCGGCAAAGCTCACGGCTTTTCCCATGCCAACCAACCACCATCGCTGGCCATCGCAGTACCTTGACGGCTTCATCTGTCTGGTTCACTGGCTCATTGCGACCGCATTTCATCTACTCTCGACAACATCCATACACTTCTTCTTCATTTACCGATCAAGTTTTTTGCGACAAACGGTCGGACCTGCCTACCGGAGTCCAACTCCGATGAGATGCGAGAATGCGGGGAGCTCAGCGCTGCCCCTCATATCAATTTACCTTATGTTCGATCTTGATTAGTCCTTTCAAGTCTCGCCAGATTTTACTTTGCTGCCCAAAGAATGAAGTTGTCGTCAATTTACATACCAGGTGTCTCTGAATACGCCGACTTGCCGACATCCTCTGAGTTTACGCCTCGAGACCCACAAAAACTGCTCCTACTAAGTTCTGCATAAGCTCACGACTGACCGTCGTGGCGGAGACCCGAGCCGCACTGTACGCCATCGTTCAAGCCTCCTAAAAACGACACCACGTTGCTTGTTGATCGAAGTCAAATAAATTCTCCCGAGATCGGCTAAACAGCCCGGCCGCTTTATCTAGGAGAGACGCGTCCTGGATCTTAGTACCCAAAGTAAACAATCTGAATCCCATCCCCGTCTGGTTGCATGCAGTATCTATCGGCATTTGAGTACCATTGCTTCCATACAGCTCTACCTGCAGGCCTCTTGCAAGTCCGATCCAACGAGGCATCAGAGGCCTCAGGCCACACGCTCAAGATCACCACTACCATTGGATCGTATAGATGAGCTGTTTCAAAACATACCCTCACGACGGTTGTACAACCCGTCCCTACCCTGAATCCAAAGCTTAATTAGACAACGGACCCGGCCACAAGCAACCGATAAATTAGCCACTGTGCTACACTCCATAAACACCCTGGCCGCGACGCTCTCTGCGCAACGTGTACGCAACGTCATATCCTCTCAACATACTCGATCGGCCCCAAACCTCCGCGAGTGAAAGAATTCTCCGAACTCTGGGCTTTGATAGCCGGGCAAATATGGCGTTGCTGCGTCGTTATACAGGATATTAGGATTCATCAATGGGGGCTTGAGGGCGGAGGAACAGGGAAGGAAAGTAATCTACGCTGACGCATGGTAGCCAGGTACGCGTGTGCTCTGGGAAATGTGCAGACTGGGGGTGAGCAGGAGTATAAGAGAACCTCGTGTCAGAAGTTTAAATCGACATCAACGAACAGCTTCCACTTTACTCATTCACTGAACTATACATCCGCACACTATGAAGTTCACCACCGTCCTCCTCATGGCCGCTGGGTACATCTCCTCCCTTACCAAGCCACTTCCTCAAAACCCCAACTAACATCCCCCAGCGCCCTCGCCGCCCCCATCGTGGAACGCCAAGCCACTCCCTCAATGCCCGTCGGCATCCCGCCCTTCCCCACTGGCCCCCGCCCCACGGGTCCCATGCCAACACCTCCCGGAGGATTCCCCGCGTTCCCTACTGGCGCTCCTCCCTTCCCAACCGGCGGCTTCCCTGGCTTCCCCAGCTTCTCAGGCGGTGCGCCTCCGTTCCCTACTGGTGGCTTCCCCAGCTTCCCAGGTGGTGTTCCTCCCATGCCGACTGGAGGGTTCCCTGGTCGGCCTAGTAGAGGGCCAATGCCGAGGCCTACGAGGAGTGTGCCGGGCTTTTGTGAGTAGATTGTGTTTTTGGAGATTTTGGAGAGTGTTGGGTCTGTTGCTGATCGTTTGTAGCGCCTATGCCTATGCCTACGCCTGTTGGGCCTCCGGCGTAGATGATTCGAGGGGCTTGGGTGGGCAATTGGGGTATTGGTTGAAGTCTGGCCGAAGAATATGGTGGATTTTGTTGTATATAGTTCGAATGGAATATGATTGCGAATGATCTTAAAGTAAGGCGCAGTCTTTTGTCAGCGTGAGCGCATGGTGATTATTCCAACTCAATATCTTCAACCGTCCACTCGCCGATTTTATCTCCAGGCTGGATCTCGCTTGAGAAGTGAGCCATGTGTTCGTGTTCGACGAGAGCAGGGATGTATACTGTGCAGATATGCCAGTATCTCCCGCTAGCTTGCCTTCGAACGATGACCAGATGAGAAGATCCAAGTACTCGCCAAATATCATCATCTTCTCTGATGTTGCATGCCGGTATCAGACCGATGTGTTGACTGTTTGTTATGATGCAAGATCTACGATCCAAGCTTCGCAAAACATCTCGAAGTGCGGCCCAAGCAGGCTCGTTACTGTTCTTGAGGGGGGCCAGCAGATCCAGAATGTCCTCTGCTCCATCGCCTAGGATTCGTCTCGCCTGCTCTGGAGTCCTTCCGATTTCCCAAAGATGCGATAGTCCAGCCTAGATAGATTCATGATCATGACTTTGACCGAACATCCTATCGTGAATAGCCCGGGAGAAGTCCCGCGGCAGACCAGTATCAGTGTCCCTAAGGTATGGCAGTATGTATTCACCGAACGACGACTTCCAGAATTCAGCCACAGTCATTTCAGCCACGGGCGTATTTACATCAAAGGCGATGGATTGTCGCACTGAACCCACTTTCATGCCTCGGATACATAATCTCAGATTGCGCATATCGACAGATTCCAAAGAACACTCAGTGTGTTTGAAGTGCTCTGACTCTTGATACACATCCCAATATAGCAATAATCCTTCAGGAGAACGTCCCATCCAATGCTCTGGGATCCACGTTGGATTGGAAGTCTCATCATCTCGAAAGCTCATAAGCAGAAAGTCGAGGTTCTGATGCTGGCTAATGTGGTATGCGGCTGCATCTACCATCACCTGCGCTTCAGTCTTGTTATAATCGACTCTAATTCCTCCTTCTTCGTAGTCTTTAGCCAAGTGCATAAGAGCGTACAAGCGATCTTGACCTCTGGACACTTTCATACCAGAACTAGTGAAAAGGATACCGATAAGCGGATTTCGGTGCCTCCCGTCACCATGAACAGCAAACATCTCGGTGCTAACAGGCCTGGCTAATTGCCCTCTGAACTGGAACAGAGCATTGACGCTCCATTTGCTGATATGGTAACGGAAATTGTTGTCGAGAACGACGTCTATGGCTTCCTGGAAGCTTGCAACAGCTATACCGTTGAAAGTAACGTTCATGCAGTGTAGCATTAGTTTTCGTGCATTAAGAACCTCTTGCTGTTTACCAGCATAAAGACGGCCGCATCAGCTGATATCCTATAATGAGGCAACCGTTAATTCACTTACATCCAAATACGATTCCAGTACCCATTATTAAACATCGGGACCAGAGGATCCCATAAGCTCGACTCATCGCCCAGGCCACGATGTTCCGCATCCGGGATAAGTTTAAAGCTTTTGAGAGCTGCTACAGCCGTACTATTTTCGTCGAGAGATGGTTCATTGATCCAAATCCGTACACAGGAAGCGTTGTGATAGACAGTCCGCATCATCGCAACCTGTTCAGCTCGCTCCTCCAAATTGTCCTGATTAATGCATATCGCATCGATCCATATCCTCAGCGGCTTCAGCTCTGCGAAGTCGCGCAGATATTCCAATGCTCTGGTCAGATTCCACGCGGTCGGTATGGCGCCGCCATCAATAACCACCCGATCGGTCTGCGTCGCATCACCCCACATATACGACAGCGCATCGTACGCGAAGTCACTGTCAACGTTCGCGATGACGAAATTGCCTACGAATGGGTCGGATCGTTGACCAGGCTGGAGTTCGAGGATGCGAATGCAGCGGGGTTCGAGAGGCTCGTAGGGAAAGCGGGGCAGTGGGTCGGCGCTTGCGTCTCCTGAGCGAAGCTGGCAGTAGCGTCGGCCCTCCTCTTCAGAGTTATCGTGAATCATTTCGCAGGGTCGGTGCGATCGAACATGAGAATGGCTCGACGTCGGAGTATAGGATAAGTAGAATGAGTGTTGAAGATGCAAGGAAAAAGATAGCTGGCTTGTCAGCATGTGGGCAGGTGTGCGGGGTCAAGCGAAGCCACGCCTGGCGAGACGAGGCTGAGAGAAAAGCATGAGGAGTTCTCGCGCGCGTAACAAATGTCATATCCGATACATTGACTACAGCGCGCCTTCCAATATAGCTTATGTCAAGTCAACTTTGCGAACACGTGGTCCATAATTGAAGGGCACGGATGACGAATCTCATGGAGACTAGAATGAATTTGTGAGGCACGGATGACGAATCTCATGGAAACTATCTCGCATCATTGTGCCCAAATACGCTGATACAGGTACGGCTCGTGAGGCCATCGACCTCTGGAGTTGCAATACCGACGCGCTCTCAGGATCGTCAATGCCGTCCTCGTCGAGGTTGATATCGAGCACGAATCACTGTAGCGAGACTACAGCCCTGAATATTACCATAAATGAGACTAGATACGGCAGCGATTAGATACATGTGATATCCAATTGACGGGCTACCGACTAGTAGGTAGCCAAACACTCCCAAATACCGGGTTTAGAAAACATCGCCCTGATCGGCATCTCGACCTGGTACTTTCCGTCTGCTGTACTTCTGATCTTTGCGTAACCCTCCTCAGCTATGACCTCACCCTTGTCAAAGTTAGAGTCAGAATCAGACCCCGCCTCATCGTCGCCGTCGACAAATGGAATGTCACTGCTCCCAAACATGCTTCTGGCCAGGGCCTTGAGCGGCGCGTCCTCTTCCACCTTCTTGGCGTCTTTCCCGTGGTACTTCAGTCCCAAGTGTTTGTCGACTATTTCCGTGCCTCTGAGCGAGGAGACTGAGCCGTAATGCTCAAGGAAGAAGTTCCGTCGGCGACAGCGTCCACAGCGTTTTTCGATGTGAGTTTTCTCTTTTAGGCACTTCGCGCGGAGGCCTACCAACAGTAGGTCCATTTCGCGGTCGCGATATACGTCGTTCAAGGAATGGTGATGATGAATTTTCGACAGCACGGCACTTTTATGCATATCTTCAGATTCCCAATTCTCGTAAAAGCCAAACAGCTGACAAGTGTTGCTAGCGATTAGCTGCCAAGCTACCGTCAAGTGATTGCGAGAAAATTGCTGTGCCAGACACTCGTCGCCGACCCAGACCTTGCGGCCTTTATGCGGCTCGTTGTATTCGTGTTTCGAAGGTTTGCGAATGGCTTCCTGGATGCAGGCCCATACTTTTCGAAGCTGTGGTGCGAACTCCGGGTCATCTAAATCAATTTTGCCACGCCTGTCTTCATATTCCGCGGGCAGCTTGAGGACATGCAAGCCTATGCCTGGATGCGGGTCGTACATGAGCGGCTCAAGGATAGGGTCTCCGGCCAGTTCCAATAGAATGTCTTTCCAGATATCTCCGCAGATCATGTACATCGAAATCCAGTCGAAGTACACATTCTGCATCTCGCCTTCTATGAAGAGAGACAAATCACGAAGCAGCACAGGAGAGCCCTCTGCCGGAACATCCTCGAACAGTCGAACGATTCGGCGAGTGTCAATCTCACTTTCAACCCAATCCGGTGATGCGCCCAACTGGCGTGCTAGTTTCCCTTGTTCGGCTTTGTTGCACAGCAAGACATTGAGGTTACCGGCAAGCTCGTCCACGGACTCGTTGGTGTGGTCGCTCCATCCGGTCATCCGATCCTCCAGAACCGGACTTAATATGCTCGTCTTCTGGAACATACGATTTGTGTTTTTCGCCTCGGATTTTCCACGGCCGTTCGCGCGCGGCAGTTTGTTGCCATAAGCAAGGTTGAGTTTGCGATATGCCTCGTCAAGGGACTTAGGTTTCCCGCCGTAGAAGACGTGATTTAGATCTTGGGAGTAGAGGACGTATTCCATGTCAGGCCAAGCAGGATCGTCCGGATAAAGCAGTTTTCCCTAAAGATTTTCGTTAGCATTTTCCTTTAGTCCATGCTACCACCTTATACAAGAAAAAAAATGAACAGGTCTGCAGGCTACATTAAGCTAAAACTTTGCAAAGTAGGTAACCTAACGTTAACGTAGGCTCTAGGCTGTTCAGTTTTTTCCTAGGTTGGCGTGCTACTATGTCTATCGTTGGAAATTCCAGACCATTTGAAGGAAGACAGTCATGGCTTTCTGAATTGTAGGCTCCTATTAACCTTGAAGAGAACCCTAGAACTCGAAGAGAACGATCCGACAAGACTAGCTTACGTACCGCAGTGTATATATGACCCAGGACGCACACAAGGCCACTGAGCTTCTCCGTGTAGAACCCGCAATCATGTAGTTGGAGGTAGAAATCGTACTTGATCAAACCGCAACGTATGGGATTGTACTTGACGGCAGGAATGTCGGCGTGCTCTACAAGCTGGTGATACGCTTGCAGGGTATTATTACACACCTCGCGTTGAAGCCTATATGGAGTGCCGGGTCTATAAAACGTCTTGAATGGGGCCTTCCAATCATAGAACTTCCACCATGTTTCCATCTCATCGCGATGACACACTCGAATGTTATTGAACGGGACATTGTTGCCCTCGCCCTCGCCCATACGATAGTCCATGATGTCCTGGATGTCGAGAAGGGTCTGGATGCCAAAGGTCACCCAGATAGGGATGACTTTGTCTGTGAACATTAATTTCATGCCGCGAGTGACCTGGACAATACACAAAGTCAGTGTGTGAATCATGCAGTTCCCACTGAAAGCCTCTTACTTCATCTTGTGCCCAGAACCGATTCTGGTTTGAGGTGTATACTCGGAATTCTTTGGCAAGTTTGAACGTCCGCATGATGTCCGTGACCGAATCCGCACCAATCGCTTGAAGCTCCTCTTCGTTGGCGTCAAGATACGGGAATTTCTTGACACGATTCACACAGAATCGCAGACCTGTGTAGACGGGCCAGAAACACCAGTTAGCGTGAAGTTTATCGTAATCGTCCTTGTTTGCCTTGACGGTAACATCCGAGGGGACCACTAAGTTCTGAATACTGACACCATCTGGCAACGGTCGGTAATGGTGATACAGGAGCGCAGGGAGGCACCATACAGGAAACTTTGATGCTGGGTATTTCGAGGGACGCTTAAGAAGAAGGTCGAGTTCGCCCTCAGCCCGTCTGACAAGATCTATCGCGGTATTGCTGAGGAGACCCGACAGAATGTAGTCCCGAGTAAAGTCCGTTGATTTGAACCAGGAATCTTGTACCACCTCTTGAATTTCATGGACCCCTTTGAGAAACAGATGTATTGCGAAAAAGAACTCCTCTTCGGCGTCTTCGTCACTCTGCTCGATCTCCGCTGCGACAACCGGCAGTAACTTGGGTTCTGGTTTCACATCCTCTGTTGACAAGGTGTCGGCAGCTTCTTCGACCGGCAGCTTCGTAAATCGATTATGGACACCATCGCTCTTCTCTGGCTTGGTGACTTTGGTGACAGGAGCTAAAGGGCGCAAGATTTCCTGAACTCGTGACAGTATGTTGATGAAGTGATGATGTCCTTCATCTGCAAGTTGATTTGATCCGTAATAAGCTTGTGCCTCTTTTCTAGCTTTGATAACTCTACCAAACACTGTCAGCAGTGGAGATGGTACTTTGACTTTCTTGACTTGTTTTGCGATAGCCTCGGCGATAGGTACGAAGTCAACGGTCCTGATGTGATATTCAGAGGGCTGCTTTTTGGCAGCCTCTTTGGCCTTCTTCCTATCTTTGCCTTTTAGGCGTTAAGACTCTGACGACGCAGACGCCTGTATACTACTGAGACTGAAACCGATCTTTTTTGAGGCTTCCACTAGCCAACCGGCAATGTATGCTTTTGTCGTGTGAGCTGCTTTAACCTGGTGGCTTTAAGCATGGTAAAAGACGCACCTGTATCCTTCTTGTATTGGCGATAGGTCGCCGAGAGAAACCCATGATCCAGAGTCGTCGACATCTTGCAGAAATGAGAGAGCGAAGAGCGCGGGTGGGTAAAGAGTCGTGGAACATCAATGGTTGAAGCTGCTGTTTCGAATGAGCGGAGTAGCGGGACTTCGGATGGACCAAGCGTCAAGTGGAGCTCCCGGCATGCTAATTCGCTCGATCAGTGGATACCAAGGATCCTTCCTGTTTTGGAGCCGGCAATTAGATCAGACGTGCGCGTAGTGGTAGGTGGTTTATCAAATCGGTGATGCTTCTTATTCGAGAGGATTCAATTGCATGAGCGTGGTATGGGTGTCGGAAACTGCAAGTCTTTTCTGCGAAAGGTCGTCGCAGTACCACGAGATGGGCAGGGCCATTGAAGACAAGCCCCCAACTACCTAGACCTTGAAAGCCTTCGGACTTTTCAGAGACAGCAGATGCAACCAGGTCCGAGTGAGCCAAGACCTGGACTTGGTACGGAGTAGACAGAATACTGGAGATGCACTGGACAGAGAACATTGAAGGCTGGCGCCGTTAGCGTGTCCGTGAGGGTGCGGGGTTAGGCGAATCTCGGGCATGCAAGGCAACCTTGGAATGCAGTGAGTAGATGATCGCTACCTTCCTCCAAACACTATGCTCATACGACCCAAATGGATGTGCACATAAAATTATGGAGGTACTCGGACCTGCGTGATGGCCTCGGTGGAGGTTTACATGCCGCGACTTGCCGCAGCTAATTAAAAAAAAAAAAGGCGGCACCTAGGTAGGCACAGGTTACTCTAGGAACTTCTCATTCGCCTTCGACGGAGATCTTTTGACAGGTAGACACATCCCCGAATGCTGTATGCATTGCGTGGTCTGCTCGTCTAGTGGGCGAGCTGCTCGCATCGTTCCGAGGTCTTCATCTACTGGGCAGCGTGGTGTACAACCTGCCCAGGTGTACTCACCTATGTGAGTCTGATCCATCGAGTACTACACACTATCTTAGTGTTTTAAAGCTGACATCTAGGCTTTCACAGATCGGTCACATGTGTCCTATTCACGGAGTAGAATCGGATCGTGTCCAAAGAGTGGCAGCTGAGCACTCAGCCTCCGCATCTTCCCCACATCTCACTAGAGTCTTACCTCACCCGAGAAGCGACTTCTACAGCTATACTTTACGTCATCCATTGTTCAAATCACGGAAAATTCAGAAGTAAGAGCTTCAGAACCAAAATAGAGACGGCTCTTCGGAATTTTGACCCATCATCAAGAGGCTGATAGCTGAGCGGTGGTGGCTGATGTATGCTTAGCTCCGTCGCACACGAGCTGCATCAAACCAGAAGCTGCACGCGTATTACACATCTTGGACTTTGGTATCGGTGTGCTGCTATGTGTGGTAACATCGGCTGGTTGTGTAGACGGTCGCCTGACCGCACCTTTCGCGGTTTTCGTCTCGGCGGACAAGATGCCTCCACCGAACCGAGATATTACGGGAGAACTATCGGATCGATTCCTTGAATTACTCGAAAGCCAACATGAGCTGAGCGCAGTACCATCTCACGAACCTAAGGTCTCCTGAAAGCCACTCTTACGATACTATGTGGAGGCACTGCTGAAGGTGGATGATCATAAGCATCACGAGTAAGACTAGAGACGTGTGAAGTATAAGAAGATGAGCCGTCTTCGCTTTAAACAAAAGCATTTCATCACACAACCGAAACCAGAACAAGCTCTGTCCAACCAGCACTCACTACAACATCCTCCACCATATTGCCAAACAAATCTCACCATGAAGGCCTCAATCATCCTCGCATCCGCTGCGACTCTCTTCGCCTCCGTTCTCGCAGCTCCATCTATCGCCCGCAATACATCCCTCTTCTTCACCGTTCAGCTCGCCAACGAACAGAGCGGTAGGAACGCCAACCGCGATGTCATCGTTGGCAACGGCGCTATAACGCTCGGCCACCTCTTCGGTGATGATTTCGGGCCCCAGGTTTTCGCCACTTCGCTCCAGGCTGTTACCCCGGGTGCTGGCGGAAACAACGTCCAATGCGAAGTCAAGAACCCCAACTACCCTGGACAGACTTTTGCGCTCAACGCATGGAACACTTTTATCGACCTTGATGGGAATCATAACGCTGCTATCCCAACTGACGTTACATCGTTCACCATCGAGTGCAAGGTCTAAACGTCCTCTCGTATACCGCTTAGCAGTATACCGGCGCCGTTTGACGGGGCATACGAAGCGAGGTGTCCAGCGAAAACTTTCCTTTCTTTGTTTGATGTATTTGGAAAGTGATTTGGGTATATTATCTTGGTGTTTAACAGTGGTGTATACATTCCTTCGTCTGTGTTATGGGAAGTAGCAAAGCTTCAATAGCTAATATCACTCGTTTGTGGAGGCACAACGTGGCTCACGCTGACGCACCTTCAAAACAGCGTTGCTGCATACATACGCATGGTCGAGTATGCTGAAGACAGGAAACTAGGTGACACAAGACCCAAAGTTGAGCAAACATACAAAGTCTCATTCAGACCGTCGTACTTCACTATCACAACGCTATGCCAAAAAGACCAAAGTCCAAGAACGCCTTCCTTGCTCTAAGCACATTTTGCCTCACCTACTTGGGCCACGCCCTCTCCCTCTGCCCCGTCCTCCTCTAGCAGCCTTGTAAGGCCTCGGCACGGGTGATCCATCACGTGATCTCTTCTCACCGATACGTGACGAGTATCTTTCCTCTCTCTTCATGTTTTCGCAAGCTTCTTCCTGTTCACGGGTCCCCGTAGAATGATTGTGGACCTCACACCACTGCTGCCGTACTGCCCCATCGCCTCCCGTAGTAAATGGATCGCGAACGTAGCAAATCCCGAAGAGGAGTTTGGCGACTGCGCGGACCCTTGACTTGACACTTGGGTGCGTGTTCATGAACATGTCCCAGCTGCCATAGTGCTGCGTTCCCCAGAGGAAACTGTATAGTATCACTATCCAGCGACAAAGTGGGGCATGCGTTGGGAGGTACTCAAAAGCGCGGACGACGTTTTCTATGCTAGGCAGCTCTCCGGTCTCGTGGTAGTTCGTGTTCTGGAAGCGAAGCAAAACAGTATAAGCCGAGTGGTACTCCTTACGCAGATACGTGACTATGTAAAGAGTGAAGAGGTTCTGGTAGTATTGGTCGACAGTCAAGCGGTGTTTGCCAAACGGCTCGACCCTGCCGTGTTTATCCAAGAGGCTGTACATCGCAAAGATGACGGATTTGACCTTGGGGTTACTGTAATCTTGAAAGAGATTGATCTGCTCAGCGAATTCCATCATATCCAGGCCAGGATCCCCGCTTATTGGAGTATGACCGTTATTCTCTTCATCGTTGAACCGCCTTCCATTGGCCGCCGTCATTCTCGATACTAGCGATCCTGGTGTGGCGTTCATCAATGGTGGCGTATCTACCATTTCACCTCGGTGATGGATGTTCCGTGTATCGAGCCTGAGTGCCGCTGGTCCTGTTGGTGTGCTCGGAGGGGGTTTTACGGCGGCGGGAAGGTCGCAATGTTGATGCCTGAGCCGGCAGTTTTGGCAAGTGTGACCGAAATCTATGTGGGCTAGGTTCCCAAGCTGCGGCAAGTAGACTCTGCACTGATGGCCATATTCCGCACACTGACTGCATCCTCCACCGTCAGCCGCCTTGCCATGGTAATGTTGAATCGCTCGCGCATGAGCGATTTCAAACTTCCGCGCATAAGTCAGACGATCCCAATCGCCTACTGGATAGTGATAACCGAATTCATCATCGGAGGGTGGATCCAAGACGTATGCGGCAAAGTCTTCGATGTGCTTGACCGGGTCTGGTCTAGATGGCGTTGCGGCGTCGCTATCCGTCATTCGCCTTGCGCGCTTTCTGGATATGTTTGGGCCGGCCTTCGATTCCATCAGCGCCCACGGGTATATCTTTCGGAGACTGCTTTCCAGCTCAGGATTCTCGCTAACTTCGGTCTCTTCAACCTCGATGATCATTTGCTTGACTCCTCTGGGCTTCTCTGTCGCATGAGCCTCACGAGCTCTGTCCTCTTCGGCTTTCGTTTTGGGTGTTACTATGGTGACGCCGGGGTAGTCGTCTTGTAACAGTTGGCGCAACTCTGTTGTCAGATCTTCTTCGCTTACAGTGAAGCTGACGTCTTTGACACACGGCGGGATGCTGGACTTCCTGAATGCCTCCCATGGCGGAGTCTGGAGTTCATTATCCGGCTCAGGGAGGTCAGCAGCAGTATCCTGCGTCTGTGAGCCCAGAACAGAGTCGCGGTCATCGATGTGAACACCTTCGTCAACTTCGGCCAAGTCTTTCTTGCGCTGATCAGGCTCCTTTGCCAACTCCTTCAAAAACGCGGCCGAAGCGGCAACGAAGTCCAACACCATATTCTCCGGGCTGATGTCACAGCTTCCCAGCGAATCTCCATTTTCGTCTCTGAGCTGAAGTTCCAGCTTTTGATATCTGAATATGTTAGTTCTGGGGTAGGAAATGTGATGGGTATGCGCACAATCTTGGCTGCTCGCTAGGCGTAATGCTCTGCTCGACAGCGCGAATAGCGCGTATGAATTCGCACTCTTTCGCTGTCAAAGCGAACTGATAGGTTGGCTCAATCACGGCCATGCTGAACGAAAGCGGGCCCTAAGGTGGGGTTGGTTTTGATCCCTGGATGTTGCTTGTCTTAGACTTTGTTGCGCCTAGACGTTGCTTGTTTTAGATTCAGTTGAGTCCTTGATGGACCGCGAAAAATCGTTCTCGCACAACCGAGACCCAACGTGGGGTACGGAGCACCTCAATCTGTTCTACACGAGACACTGAAATTGCCAGTGTAAAACAATGTCTTGCACAGGCCGTCAAACCGTCGGATGTTCCTCGGGCGGTAGAGACAAGCACGTATCGGCAAGTCGCGTCTCTAGGTGCCCGTGGTTGCTTCTGCTGGCTTCCCGCGCCAATCAGGAAGTTTCCGGGACAATCAGTCGTTGACGGAAAAATAATGCTGCATCAGACAGGCGCAAGCTGATGGAGATCTAGC